CCTCGAGGTTTTCGAAATCGGCAGCCAGATAATTGCCATATTGTAAAGTACAGTCTAGAGGAATATCGCAGTACCTAGACTTCTTGCCGCATCACATCATCATTGACACGTTTTCTGGGTTTTAGAATCAAGATTAGCCACATATGCTTTCGGTCAAAGTCGATTTTCTCATCAATAATCGCTGCGAAATACCACGATACTGCCCCCAACCAGCGTATAAGTAGTTCACCATCGAGAACCCAGTTCACCAGTTTCCGCGGTCGGGTGCGCGGTCCTCGCCCTATTGGTCGTTGCCGTGGTCGAATTTGTAGATGTTGGTAAGTTCTGAAAAGGCAGGCAAAGTAAAAGTAAGGGAGGCTAAAGTTGAGAAGTCAACCAACCTTAGTTTCAATCGCAAGATTTGTTGGGGGCTGACGACAGGCAGGTTCCCATTACTAAATAGTGTTATCACTATTGCGTCATCAAGAATTCCGGGTGACAATGTAAGTCATATGCCCAAACACTGCAGAACTGTTTAATTGAGGCTAAAAACGGAAGGGTATCACGCATACCTCTGGGAGGAATCGTTCCCGAGCCGGTAAGTCGAACATGATCCATTGAATCACTGCATCGAACACCTGATGAAATATAATATTTTGGTTATTCATGGAAATAAAAAATGGATTACGTACCGAGTGATGCTAGTTCTCAATTTCGCATCATCTACCATCAGGCTCAGCATTGTAATGAGTGGTCTCATGTCAAGGTAGAGGTTCACAATTGCATGACTATTCCTTTGACGCCACGCGTTCAACCAGGAGATGAAGCGAATCATTCTTACCGTTTCGATAGAACGACCCTTGCTGCCCCTCCCTAAGACTTACACTTGACTGATTCCTATTGTCAATCACATAAACAGTTTTCAAAGATGACTTTTCACAAAACATCGAAGGCATGAAAGCCTCTCAAGAAAGTTATACAGGGACGGTAGTAAACTACCCTTAATTCGCAGTTAAAGGTGGTGATCGAAGGCCCTTGCATAGAATAAAGAATAAGACAATCGCGAATCGATCTTAAATCAAACGCGAGCTTCCTACTCTATTTTATGATCACAGAACAACGAAACATGGGCAAACGAACAAATATTTCAAAAAAGGTCACAAAAGCATCTGTGGATTATGCGATTGCAGCTGCATTTTTAATTCCTACTTAGTGGAGCTGGTCAGAGAAAAAAAGACCGTGGGAATGGGGAGACGCAGATAACACGTTTGCCACGTTATTACCAGTGAAGAGTCTTCGACGTACTTTTTACTTGAGGGTCAACGTGACGTCTGCGTCCCCTCAACCGCGTGCTCCTTTTTTTCTCTGCTTAATTCCGAATTAGCTCTCGATTCGGGGTATTATGCCGCTTAAAACTGAGTGTAGAGATTCAAAATGGACAACAGTGGAGGAAAATTAAAAGAACTCGTTGACAACGCCGAAAACGAAACCCTTGCTCCCACTAGCAGTGAAGGAGGCTGGCTTGGAAGAGAGATCACGTCCAACTTCCGAACTGCGGCATTGCGCTACTGCAGCAGTGACACGCAATAAAACTAGCTGATTCCACACGTTATGCCACCCCGCCACATCAGCCGCTCCAAGAGGGGGCGAACATAGATTAAGTCAGGCGTGATAGCTGACATACTTCCGGGCACTTATTATCGCGCTGGCCCAAAATACGAGCGTGGTGTTATCCCTTTATGTAAGTAACGCACTGAAGTAGGAAAGGATTGGTTCGGTCGCCTAATAACGACCTGTGCCTTGAAACTGGTATTCTCTTCGAGCATAGAAATATCCGCAAATCTAACAGGGCAGGTCGTCCTTCTTTTGAAGATGCTATTTTACAGAATGCTGACCGAAACTTGTAATGCCCTGAATCAAGCATACATTTCAGCAGAGTTGTGAGACGTTTAATAACCTATTCAGTAGGACTGTGCTACAAGATGCCTTTGTCGGATGACGAGGTGGCGTCCATGCGCGGGCGTCTTATAAGTCAACATTTTGACGAAATACCACGATAGCACACATGATACGCAGGCATGTCTTTACGCGTGCAGCTCATTGCATAATGCGCGGATCAGTGGAGCCATGGAGCATGTAAGTCCTCACAACTTGTCCGGCCCAGCCCCTTTCCTCATTCGAGCGGGGATCCTTGTTAATGGCGTCAACGACGGTTTTCTTTGCTTCTTTTTTCAGTCACTTAACTGGGCATCCACAACTCCATTATAGACTGCCGCGAACCTAAAAATTCATCAGGGGTGTGTTACTTTAATATTTCCTCGTGGTGAACAGGAACACAGTCAACGAAATTCGCATTTGCTTCTGCGATACGCTATAACTGACTTGGGTGTGTCCCAAGAGACGCATCGCGTGGCGAAGGACGAGTCGCAGCGCGTGCTGTGCGATATGAGACGTAGTATGGTACACTCTATTTAACCTGACGCCTAACCGCTACAGTATGCGCTGCGACTCGTCCTTTGCCGCGTCTGCGTCTCTTCCTTCGCCGCGCGGGGCCTCTTGGGGACACCCGCACTCGGCTTGAATCCCACCAGACACATTTCATTGAAATGTGCAGCACGCGCTTAGGCTCAACTTTAAATCTGCCGCACTCACAAACGGAATTTTGCGATTTTGTTACGATTTGATGGCACATTTTGCATCAAACAGCTGTGTCTGGTGATTTTGCGCTGTCTGTGAACTCTATTTATTTGCACTCAGTCAACTACTCACTCCTAAGCCGTGAACTCATCCAAAAGCAACACTAATCGGTTTCCAAGCTGCGTTTTTTACGGACTCTGAGCTTTCTCTCATTTGCCCATCGTTTAGCGGGCCCCCCCTCCCATTGCCTTTGAGTTGATGTCGTGCGAAAGCATGAGGAGGACAAAAATGACCGTAACAGAAGCTCGTTAGCTTGATAGCGAAACTTGAGTGCGTACCTGGTCTTCCGCTTGAACACCGAGCTCGTCACGTGAAATCAATTCAAGTAATTGCTCGAAGGAAAGCTGTTGAAATGCTTCAGTGCCAACAATTTCCTAAAAACAGCGGAATACTTGCTGAACCTGACAAAAGTGCATCAAAAAATCAACCTGGAAGTAAAACAAGATATACTTCTCAGCGCAAGTGAAAAGCTCTCGACATGCATAAGTATCGGCGAGCACCCGAACTCCTAAGCAGTTCGAAGAAGTTAATTTTTTACTATCCAAGAACTCGCAGCATTGCTCTGTAGCGAAACAGAAGAACTTTTCAATACTGACCAATTGTTGGATTTTGCTACTATTTCGAAAGAGTATTACAAAAACGACTCCTCAGTACGCTAGATCGGTTCCACCGTAATCTACATACGTTGGCAGTGGAGCACGCTGTTGAGCACTGGGGCACGTAATTGGATCGAAGTCCTGGTACAGGCGTCCTTTAAAACGGCGCTCAACCAGAGCGATTTCCACTACTCCGCGGCTACCCTAGAGCACCCATCCCTTCTACATATGTACATGTCGCTTGCGAGGGGAGAAAGGCTCAAACTGGGCCAGCTCCCTGCAGTGCTATAGCCATGTCCCTCGCGAGCTCTCCTTCAGCAGGGTCAATCCTACGTTGTTACTAGTAACACGGGGGGGTCGTACCTGGTTGAGTTTATAGGAGGGGGGGGGTCGTATCCGCTTCAGTCGCGTGAAAGTACATGTGAGTTTGTGGTGAAAGTGGAGTTTTCACGAGTAGTAGGCTAGGTGAGTTGGGAGCGCATGGGAGAAAAATTCGCCGTTTCAGCGCGCGTATATACCCCTCCCCCCCCCCTAGAAAATGAAGCAGTGGGATTATAGGTAGAAGTGGGGTAAATTGGTTGAAATTTAGGGAATTTTGGTAAATTTTTACTGTTTCATAGTGGTATATATCCCCCCCGCTCGACGGCATTTTTGGAGGAAAAAGTGGGCGGGGAGTTGGAGGGTTGAGTGGTACCACGGAATTAAATACTATAGATAGAAAGGAATATGGTGTCGAGGTGTGGAAAATAGGGAGGTCTAAATGACCAAGATGTCCAACATTGGGGAGGGGGGGTCGGGAAAAAAACATTAAAAGTAACAGCGAATAGGACTAACTAGCTATCTTCGTTGAGGCTCCGTGCAGTTGGAGGCATATTAATTAGCCGATGGAGTGCTCAGAGATAAACGACAAGAAGGAGAACGTCGGAAACAGTCGATGACATGTGGCACTGCGCGCCCTAGCGCCAACCAGGGTCAACAGTCCGTTGGACAAAGTCAACGAGGGTGGCAGGTCGTCTATTCGCGACGTAAGCGTCAAATGTTAAGTAAAGGGAAGTGATGAATGCAAGTATGTTTGGCGAGAAGAGAAATTCATGTCCGTTTCACGAGTGTGTTGTTAATGCCTACTTAGTTGGAAACGTGTCGATGGTTCAGAATACGATCTATAGAAATAGACCCCAGATGGGATGGCAGGCCGAGGGTGGTGAATGATTAACCTTGAAGGGGGAGGGTCCTAGAAGAAGGAGGGGAGGGTCGTCAAATTTTCGAAATCGGCCCAACGTGAGAGTTGACCCTGACGCCAACTTGGCTTACGGTGGAACCAATCTCTCGTGCTGAGAAGCCGTTTTAGTTATTGTATTTACAGTCTGACCTGGACCTCGTTCAGCTGAAGCAAGCCAGCAGCGGGTAGAATACTTAACACATTAGTGCCGCTGATCTCTATTCTACCAGTGTAGCAATAATTGACGAGAGTTTCAAGCGTTGGCGCTTTTATGTTCACCATTTCTATCTCATCTGCAGAAACAAAAGACATAATAGAAGGAATAATTCTTGGGTTTGCAAAAATCAAACCACCTAAGTAAAAACCCCCCTACTTAGGAAGCACATTTTGTAAATTGGGCTAATCCTCTGGAGGGGGGGGGATGAGGCAGCCACAGTAATTCCAATTTTCATTGAGGATCGATGCATCGGCGTGGGTGTGAAAGCTGAAGCGGAGTGCTTCACGCATCCTGGTGATTTGCTCCCCCGACGAGAATTGGAATTACTGTAGGCGTCATGAACATGCCACCACCCCTCCTCTCCCCCTACCCCTTTTCCCCACTCATTGGGATAGACCTTAAAGTATAAACCTACCCATGCGACTTTCAGCCATATCGTTTGTGAACATGGCCTTGAAATAATTTGAAGACGCAGCGAGCACGACTCGATGGGCATTTATTCGTGTACCCTGGAATGACTCAGGAATAGAGAACGATAGAAGCAGTGGATGCGATGGCTGGGAGGCGATGCGTAAAGAGAACCATCATTGTTGGAAGAAAGGCCAACCGTTGATCTTCCCAAAGGGCAATAAAATTTGGAGGGGGGGGGGGTAAATTTTGAGATTACAAAGGGGTCTTCTGGAGAAGAGGGGACCTGTTTTCAGAGAAAAGCAGGGAAGCGAAAGTTGTTGAGCTGGGGAATTGGAAAATTTCTGCGAAATTTGGAGAAACTTTGAAAATTTTTGCCGTTTCAACAGAAGGTGTATATCCTTACCCTTCCCGCCCTCGTTCGACGTCACGACGCCTTAGTAGGGGCGAAGTTTCGAAGTGTGTCAAGATGAGGCCATTTTATGACACTATGAATGGACCATCGACTATTGGAAGGGGAGGCCATGTTGTGAACCATGGGTACCCGACAGGAGGCCCGTCGCGCGGCAAGAAGGCAGAGTCAGCGGACGAGTCGCAGCGCGTGATGTGCGATGTAGGACGTACAATGGGACATTCTATTTAACTTGACGCGAAATCACCTACGACTCGTCCGCTGGTTCTGCGTTCTTGCCGCGCGACGGGCCTCTTGTCGGGTACCCGTGAACCCTTCCATTGAGTGGTCATCCAATTACAAAAAAAAATTCCCAACAAACAATTGACTCTGATTGGAAAAGCGCTCCCAGGAGTCTTCCACCAAGGATGTCCTCCAAGCTATCGCATCCGATGTCTTTGAATCTTCATTATAATGAGAGAAGTACCTCGGCGACCAGAGTCACATCGCATAAATGGGAGTCGCGTCGAAGTTCTGCGAGCTGAGCGAGCAATTGCTGGCTGCGAACAGAACTCTGAACATTGTACGTTACTTCCTGGCTACATCAAGAGTGGGACGGAACATTGTGGGCAGAGATGTGTGGCTCCTTCACTACATTATTCGGAACCATTATATGGCCCTGCTCATTGTGTACAGAACACCTATTCATTGCTTGCGAAAGCGAAAACAAAAAAGCGGCTTTATGAATTGTGAACCCCATAT